TTGGCTACGTAAGTTATTAGAAAAAAGGCCTTAAAACGAAAGTGCACGGTCATTTAAGGCTACTGTTCCTCAATGAAGGTGAGGCCGATGTTTGACGAGGAAAATGGCTTTTGTTCAGTTGTATAGTTTAGCGTTGTTTGTGGCTTCCACAAAAAGTAGCAGTATGTACAACATGTATTCCAACATGATCATGCCTGATGGCAAAGAAAATTACAATGTTTCCGACAACTGCAATGAGGCCGCGGACACACTGGAGTTTATGGTGCAAGTAAGAACCACACGTTGAGTTGGTTTCGGTGTTGCTAAAGTAGCACCAAATAATATGAGTTACTATGATGTGGCAGTAGGAGGAGTAACAGATGACGGAACAAGCTATCTGCAGGTAGGTCGGAATAACAAAATTCAGTTAAGCTATCTAAAAAAAAGAAGTTAAAAGGCGAGATTCTATTTTACATTCCACGTCACGCATGTTACTTTTTTTGTCTGATTTCTTTCATTTTCCCTTTGAAGTTAAGACGCTACATTCTGATCGCGAAAGTATTTAAAATTAATATAAAGAATGTACTTGACTCCTGTATGGAGATGTGGACGCAAGTCTATTAATTTAGAGAGAAATGGCATGTTTATTGTTTATATAAAACAGCCTAGACCATTTGAGTACTAGTATACTCAAATATTGGTGATTGACAAATTACGTCTATTATCACCAGCGTTTAATCCAATTTGATTTTTTAGCTTCAGCTTCGTTTAAGTCCACCTTCCTTCCACATCCATCCTGAGGAAAATCATTACATCAACTCTTGAATTCTTGCAAATAAGTCAACTTACTTTGAGGTATAACGTATAGCTTGAGCCAAGCCTAAGAGCGGAGATCGCAGTTTTTTTTCCCCTCACTTCTCGTCAGCAAAATTAAGCCCCTATTATGGACAAAGAGCTCATTTTAATACATTTTAATCCGCAACTTCTCTGTTTCCGTGTAGAGAACTGATCCTATTGTAAACGCCATAGGGTTGCATTTTTAAGTCGATACGCAGTTTTTAGGGGTCTCCATAAAATAGCTTGCAGCGAGAAGTCGAAATTTTTCAAAAACAGGAACGAAAATTGTGCAAACAGTTAAAAAGTCTTCCCAACAATATGCAACCAGAAAATGGAAGAACACTTTTAATATTGGGCACGTCCGGTCACTTACGATATTACGATATTACGATATTTTCAAAGTATGTGAAACAGCAGATCTCTACTTCTCAAAACACTGCTAGTGCCCATAAAGGAGGGTTCCCAATAGGTTCTTCGGGATTCGTGATTGGGTTTATTTGAGGGCTTGTATCCGGGAATCTAAAGTGAGAAGGGACCGAGATGCGGGATTGTTATTATGAACGGGACACGGGAATCGGCGATTTTGAGGAGCGGGACTCGGGAAATAATCACTTAAACAAACCGAGAACCGGGATGTCTTTTGACCAGAATTTATGGAGAATTTGATCACTCAGTCCATGAGAGGCACCAGGCGTACAAGCTCTTTAGGATTTAAGAGGCGGTGAGCTGATCAGCGAGGAAATGAAAATTCTATCAGAAGCGAAATTACCAAGTTATCAAAAATCTCAATAGCCCATAGGGTAACGTGGCATCTAAGATTGCTGCGTCAATTAAAATGCTTAACGGCCTTGAAATCCTTAAGCGGGTCTCAGAATGATACCAATACGACGCTCTTAACCTGTTGAGTTGCATGAAACTGGACGTGGAGAATATTCACTTGGTTGTGCATCACAAAGATCAACTTTTCACGGTGTTAGATTGCGCAAGAAAGTTTGGAAATGCAGCCAAAGAGGGCTTAAAGAGGACAACCCGTTAGGCGGCGCACTATCTTACAAATTCAAATTCCTGGTATCATGTAGCCGAAATTGCCATGATCCTGTCATACAGAAAATACGACTGGGCGTAAACATTTGTCGCAACGGTGTGTCGGCGCTCTGTCAGACAGGAAACAACGATGGCAATAGCTCTGACTTCGTGGAACAACAAGAAAACAGCGGGAAACAAGACGAAGAGCAAGATGGAATATTAGAGTACGATTCGCCGAGTGATGATGGTAACATCCCATCTTTGGAAAG